ATTTGAGGAAGACCGACCGGGGCAGACACCTTTCCTCTCAGTTCCCAAAGCTCTGTTCTTGCTCCGAATCAGATTGGGCGTGATGTCCTGGCCTGTGACCTTAGCTCCCAAGGAATGCCACCACCCAACCAGGGTCCGAGACCGGCTTCTTTTACGAGGAGTTGATTTATTTTTTTAATTTTTATTTCTCTTTTTTCCCCTTTTATTTCATCATATTATGGGGGTACAAATATGTTGGGGTTACATATAATGCCCTGCCACCCCTCCCCCCAGTGCCAGCGCTTCAAGCGCGTCCAATTCCCAGGCGGTGCGCACCGCACCCATTGTGTAAGTCCACACCCTTCTCCTCACGTAGAAAACTATTCCGAATCGTCTGCGGTGCCCGAATTAGACGGCAGGTACTAGGGAGCAGGGACTGCCTTACGTTTTGGGCTCTAGGCCAAAGGCAGCGGGTGCCGCGAGCTGAAAAAATCTCCCACACATGGCTGCTGACTTAAGAAACAAAGTGTCCAAGCAAAGTAGAGCAACGCGCTAGCAGTTATAAAGATTTCAGGCAAACAGTTTCACCAGGTGTGAATACCTTTAAATCAGACTCCAACTATGTCGTCTGAATGGGCTCTGTCACCAGGTTTGTTTTAAACCAATTCGAGGAACCCCAAAACACCTGAGAATTGTTTTAGTGAAGAAACGGCCCTTAAAAAACCAGGTCGTGGAGGTTACAGAAATCAGGACGGGCAAAATCAGGTAGAGGAGGGCGCTGGGCACATTCCCTCTGCCAAAGCCACAGCACAAGTCCACGGTCTGGGACAGCCGGAATGAAAGCAACAGGTGCCGCGGGACCGGGTGGACTCTGAGCCGCGCCTGCCCGGCTGGCGGGCAGGGCCGAGCAGCTGCCCAGTTCCTGAAAGGGTCTGGCTGCCAAGCCCGGAGGAGACGGGGAGCCCAGGAGGCTCAGGCGGCCGGCACCGAGAGCTATATTTGAAAAAACGTTTTTGAGGTGACTGCCAAGATGACAGTGGATTTGAATCGGTGTAAGAAATCCTCCGTGATTAAGGACATTTCAAAATCCTGGACACGAACAATTCCGAGAAACAAACTGCGAAGGACACCAAGTCACTACCCCAAAATCTGCCCCACGCGGGACGAGAAAGGACAACTCCCGCCAGGGCTGTCGCTGGTACAGGACGGTCCTGTCACACCACGGCTGACTCGCAGACACAGGGACGAGTATAAAGGTCACGCCCTGGCCCTGCGAGGGTTAACGTACGGGACAGCACTCCGCGGTGGCCGTCCTGTCCGCAGCCCAGGACCCTGGCCGGCGGGACCTTTGCGCCCCAGAGTTCGGACAGGAGACCCAAAGCGGACGTTTGGGCTCACTCCGCCTCTCCCCATTACTTGCAGCGGGTTCCCAGGCCCCGCCCGCGCCAGACGCTTGGATTTGGGAAGGAGTCCGGGGAGAAGCGCGAGGGGGGCGGTCCCCGCCGGAGGCACCCGACTCGACCCGGCCGCGCAGAGCCCCGGCCCGACTGGGACGCGCCTCCGCCGCAGGGCAGGTGCCCGCCCGCGCCGAGCCCGCCAGGCCCAGCCCGCGCGCGTCCCCGAAGTGGCGGGGAGCGCAGCGGCGCTGGGGCGCGCACGAGCCGCCATGGCCGCGCCGCCGGCTTTGTGTGCCGCGCGCGGGCCGCGGTCGCCCCGCCTCGCCCGGCTGCGGGCGGCGTTGACCCGCCGGGCTCCGAGCGCCGCGCCCGCCGGGCCGCCCCGCTCCGCCCCGCCCGCGCCCCGCGCCGCGCGCCTCGCGCTCCGGGCCAGGCCAGGCCGGCATCTCGTCTTCTTAAAAAAAAAAAAAAAAAAAAAAAAGGGAAACGGAGACTTCCTCCTGGATTTCTTCAACAACTTTTTTTTTTATTTACTGTAAATTAACAGTTTATGTTGCTCACTCTGTGCTCTGGACGGACGCCAAGGCCTGCACAATAAAAAGAGAAACAAAAAAAAAAAAAAAAAAAAAAAAGTAAAACAGGGCAACGTATGTCCGATTCCATATAGACAACTAGATTCAGTTTTTAAGCGTGGCTATCCTTCTCTTGTGGAAATAAAAAGTGGGCCATCCTCCTCTATGCTGCTGGCAGTTTATTTTCATAAAGCAAGTGGCCTTAAGCAACTCAACCCCCAGCAGACTAACACGGGAGCCCGGTTCAGCGTGCGAAAAGAAAGGGCCAGTATTAAATGATAGAGACCAGCGCGCTTAGCTACTCGGAACATTGTTGAGCTCGTCAAACCCCGGCTGGCTCGGCAGGACACAGAGTCATTCCGAGCCACAGACCGTGGGCCGGGCCTGCCGAGCGCAGGGCGGGCTGTGTCCTGGGCCCTCTCCACGCCCGAGTCGGCTCGGTGGCTGAGCCACGGCAAGCACCTCGAGCGGCGAACACCCTCGCCGACCTCAACTCACGGCGAGACCTTCCTCCACCAGGACGACAGGAGCTACAGAGAAACCCTCCAAGGCCAGAGTGGGCAGCCGGCAACGCCTGGCCCCGCGTTTCACAGGACCAACATCACCTCTGTGCCGTGTGCTGAAGTCTCCCGGCCGACACGCCCGGGCACCCCGACACACGTCCCGTGGGCGTGCCGGAGATGCCCCAAGATGCAGAAGCCCGTAGCCCGGGCAGCACACCCTCCCCTCTCAGGGGGCCACGCCAGCTCCTCCGTGCCTCCGCGTGGCAGGAGGTGGGACGGGCTTGGTGGCCGTGCTCTGGCATGGAGCTGCGGGGGCTCCATTCAGCAGTCACACAAACCCGAACCGAGGTAACTTCCTGGGGAGCGCGTGCGCTCTCAGCCCAGCCCTGCACAGGCTTCTAGCGGGGGAAAATCAAGGCCGGGCCTTTGCGTGTGTGTTTGTGGGCGTTACCCTGAATCTCGCCCCACGCACCCTTTGTGGAAGGAGATAGGGTATATATACACCAGTGCCCGGCTTTTAAATCTTCCCGGCGGCGTGAGCGCGGCCGCCAGACATCTGGGATGCGGGGGCTGTCTTCCCCACCAGCGGCACAGAAGACCCGGCCGCGAGACGCCCCCGGAGCCCTGTCGTGAGCTGAGGGCTGTCCACCTGGAGTGGAGCGCAGTGGAGGAGGGGCATTTGAGGAAGACCGACCGGGGCAGACACCTTTCCTCTCAGTTCCCAAAGCTCTGTTCTTGCTCCGAATCAGATTGGGGCGTGATGTCCTGGCCTGTGACCTTAGCTCCCCAAGGAATGCCACCACCCAACCAGGGTCCGAGACCGGCTTCTTTTACGAGGAGTTGATTTATTTTTTTAAATTTTTATTTCTCTTTTTTCCCCCTTTTATTTCATCATATTATGGGGGTACAAATATTGTTGGGGTTACATATAATGCCCCTGCCACCCCTCCCCCCCCCAGTGCCAGCGCTTCAAGCGCGTCCAATTCCCAGGCGGTGCGCACCGCACCCATTGTGTAAGTCCACACCCTTCTCCTCACGTAGAAAACTATTCCGAATCGTCTGCGGGTGCCCGAATTAGACTGGCAGGTACTAGGGAGCAGGGACTGCCTTACGTTTTGTGGCTCTAGTGCCAAAGGCAGCGGGTGCCGCGAGCCTGAAAAAATCTCCCACCCATGGCTGCTGACTATAAGAAACAAAGTGTCCAAGCAAAGTAGAGCAACGCCTAGCCAGTTATAAAGATTTCAGGCAAACAGTTTCACCAGGTGTGAATACCTTTAAATCAGACTCCAACTACTTCGTCTGAATGGGCTCTGTCACCAGGTTTGTTTTAAACCAAGTTCGAGGAACCCCAAAACACCTGAGAATTGTTTTAGTGAAGAAACGGCCTTTAAAAAACCAGGTCGTGGAGGTTACAGAAATCAGGACGGGCAAAATCAGGTAGAGGAGGGCGCTGGGCACATTCCCTCTGCCAAAGCCACAGCACAAGTCCACGGTCTGGGGACAGCCGAGAATGAAAGCAACAGGTGCCCGCGGTGACCGGGTGGACTCTGAGCCCGGCGCTGCCCGGCTGGCGGGCAGGGCCGAGCAGCTGCCCAGTTCCTGAAAGGGGTCTGGCTGCCAAGCCCGGAGGAGACGGGAAGCCCAGGAGGCTCAGGGGAAACCGGCACCGAGAGCTATATTTGAAAAAACCGTTTTTGAGGTGACTGCCAAGATGACAGTGGATTTGAATCGGTGTAAGAAATCCTCCGTGATTAAGGACATTTCAAAATCCTGGACACCGAACAATTCCGGAGAAACAAACTGCGAAGGACACCAAGTCACTACCCCAAAAATCTGCCCCACGCGGGACGAGAAAGGACAACTCCCGCCAGGGTTGTCGCTCGGTACAGGACGGTCCTGTCACCACCACGGCTGACTCCGCAGACACAGGGACGAGTATAAAGGTCACGCCCTGGCCCTGCGAGGGTTTAACGTACGGGGACAGCACTCCGCGGTGGCCGTCCTGTCCCGCAGCCCAGGACCCCTGGCCGGGCGGGACCTTTGCGCCCCAGAGGTTCGGACAGCAGACCCCAAAGCCGGACGTTTGGGGCTCACTCCGGCCATCTCCCCCATTACTTGCAGCGGGTTCCCAGGGCCCCGCCCGCGCCAGACGCTTGGATTTGGGGAAGGGAGTCCCGGGGGAGAAGCGCGAGGGGGGCGGTCCCCGCCGGAGGCCACCCCGACTCGACCCGGGCCGCGCAGAGCCCCCGGCCCCGACTGGGACGCGCCTCCGCCGGCAGGGCAGGTGCCCGCCCCGCGCCCGAGCCCCGCCCAGGCCCAGCCCGCGCCGCGGTCCCCGGAGTCGGCTGGGAGCGCAGCGGCGCGTGCGGGCGCACAGCGCATGCGCGCCGCCGCTTTGCTGTGCGCGCGCGGCCGCGTCGCCCGCGCTCGCCGGCTGCGGGCGGCGTTGACCCGCCGGGCTCCGAGCGCCGCGCCCGCCGGGCCGCCCGCTCCGCCGCCCGCGCGCGCGCGCGCTCGCGCTCCGGCAGCCGGCGGGCGCAGCCGCCCCGATGCCCGAGCCAGGCCCCAGGATGAACGGCTTCTCGCTGGGCGAGCTGTGCTGGCTCTTCTGCTGCCCGCCCTGCCCGAGCCGCATCGCCGCCAAGCTGGCCTTCCTGCCGCCCGAGCCCACCTACACCGTGCTGGCGCCCGAGCAGCGCGGCCCCGGCGCGCCCCCGGCCCAGGTCCGGCCGGCGGCCCCGCCACGGTCCCGCGCGGCTCCGCTCGCTTCGGCCTCGCGGCCCAACCGGCGCCGCAGCAGCCCGAGGAGGGCGCGGGCGCGGGCCCCGGCGCGTGCAGCCTGCACCTGAGCGAGCGCGCCGACTGGCAGTACTCGCAGCGCGAGCTGGACGCCGTCGAGGTCTTCTTCTCGCGCACGGCCCGCGACAACCGGCTGGGCTGCATGTTCGTGCGCTGCGCGCCCTCCAGCCGCTACACGCTGCTCTTCTCGCACGGCAACGCCGTGGACCTGGGCCAGATGTGCAGCTTCTACATCGGCCTGGGCTCGCGCATCAACTGCAACGTCTTCTCCTACGACTACTCGGGCTACGGCGTCAGCTCGGGCAAGCCCTCCGAGAAGAACCTCTACGCGGACATCGACGCCGCGTGGCAGGCGCTGCGCACCCGGTGAGCGGGCGCGGGGCGCGGGGCGCGGGCCTGGCGCGCAGGTGGGGGTGGCGGAGGGGCCTCCGGGCGGCCTGCGGGGACAGGGGCTCCTCCCCCGGGGCTGCGGGCGAGCGGAGGGCTCCCGGGCCTGCTTCCACCCTCTCCGAAAACCCGCCGGGCCTCAGGTTCTTGGAGAGCCGAGGATTTTGTCTGGATCCGCACGCCCGGGTGCCGCCGGCCCACCGGCTGTGCTTTCGGGGTCACCGCAAGTGGCAGCGCGTGGGTGCTTCAAGTCGGGCGGAGAGCAGCGACGTGGTGTCCTTCGTGTGTGTGTGAGCTGACCCGGAGGCTGCCGGTCCTGGGGCCGTGGTGACCTTGGCAAGGCCCGCGAGTCTCTAGACCTCAGTTTCCCCCCCCTGTACGGTCAGGGGGTGTGACAGGGCGACCTCCAACAGACTTTCCGGTTGTGAAGTGCCCACAAGGCCACGTCTGGGCAACCTTGGAGGCAGCCGGAGGGGCGGATGGCCCAGGAGTTTGGTCTCCTGGTGGGGCAAGTAGCTGGCTGTTGGCCTCAGGGACAGCCCAGGGTAAGTTTGAGTCCTGCAGGGTGTAGGGGAATCTCTTGACCTTGAATTAGCATGCGAAGGACTGCGGGCATTCACTGAGGGCATTTTACATTCCAGGCACAGATTGGGGGCATGGTTTAGGGATTGGATCCCGTGAAACAAGCAAACAACAACAAAAAAACTTGGGTTTTATTCTTGGTTAGACATGAAGGTTGGGAAGTGGGCAAGTCAGGCCACCTGTTTGTGCTCAGTTTGGGTGACTGTGACCTTTGTCACCTACCTCATAGCAGTGACGGCGGGGGAGGGGAGGGGGACACCTGGGGTCGTGTCTATACTGAGATGTGGTTTCTTCACATGAAACAGGCCCCATAATAAGTTCAACAGGCATCATTGTCACTGTGGGCCCTTATAGAGCTTTTACCTGTAACCTATTTATTTGCTTTCGTGCACAGAGCCGGCGTTAATGTTTTTTCCGTTCATGTTTATACATGTATGCTTATGTTCGTAAATCACCCCCTGCCTGTCTGGGGAAATGGCTCGTCCGACAGGGAAGCGTGCTTAGTATTTAATATACCTTGCGTGTTTGTGGTCTCCTAAAGCCCATAGGGAGGAGATGCCCTCATTTGGGTTACAGCTTTTCAAAAGTGGCTCAGGCGGATGAGAATGTACCCTGTGCAGGTGTGTCGGGTCAGGACTCCCAGGCAAGTTAAAAGCCACCTACCTGTTCCGGTAAAGGGTTTCAGATATATGTGTCATGCACAATCAATAGATTGCTCAGGGTTTGCTGTTTGGTAGAGGTATTACAAATAAGGCTGGCATTAGGTCCTTTTTAAAAGGGAAACATGAAAATCCTACCTTGAGTAGATTTTTATTTAAAAATGTTTGCAGAGTTTTGCTCCTGTATGTGCATGCCTACATTTACAATGAAAACCTGTCAAAGGGCTAATCCTTTGCCCTGAATTTGCAGGTGTGGCTGTGTTACTGCATATGTGAGGTGTGGTCATTTCCTGGAGACTTTTTTTGTGTGTGTGTGTCATGCTGAGTTGAATTAAAGGGCACTGTTTGGGATGTTAAACTTTATATTAACTGATGGCATATCTAGGCCCATGGTTTATTTAATGTTATGCCAGGACTCATAGCGAAATTGATTTATTCCCCTGTAAAACAGATTAGAATTTAAAAGCCAAAGGAGAGTCTTAGAATATGAAACCTTAGAATATAAAACCTCTTGTCCTGTGCTTTTTAAACTATCTTGACAGTGACCCCACAGTAAGAAACACGTATTAGCCAGACGCGGTGGCTCACGCCTGTAATCCTAGCGTTCTCGGAGGCTAAGGCGGGCGGATGGCTTGAGGTTAGGCGTTCGAGACCAGCCTTAGCAAGAGTGAGACCCCCATGTCTACTAAAACTAGAAAAACGAGCCGGGCGTGGTGGCACACACCTGTAGTCCCAGCTACATGGGAGGCTGAGGCAGGAGGATCGCTTGAGCCCAGGAGTTTGGGGTTGCTGTGAGCTGTGATGACGCCACGGAACTCTAGCCGGGGTGACTGAGTGAGATTCTGTCTCAGGAAAGAAAAAGTAGCGGAAGGCGTTTTACATCTTGATCAAGCACACACATACACATTTGTATCTGTGTACTGGAAACAAACGTTTCTGTGTTCATTCTGTGGGCAATGCACTTAACAGACACCTTCTGCTTTATTTCACTGTAAAAAAGAAGAAGAAGAAGGCTGGTTGCGAGCTACTAAATCCATGTTCCAACTTACTTGCGGGCACTGCTCGTGTTCACCCACCTTGCCCGAGATGGTCTCACGGGGAACCCGCAGTGGGTCCTGTGACTTCTGGTTCAGGGCTGTTCCGCCGAGAGCTCGTTTTCACCGGGTTTCTCTAGAGACGCACGTGCTATTCTGCCAGAGAGGAGTGACCCAATTACGAAGCTGATGGCTGCCTTCACCGCCTGCCTTCAGCCTGTGCCCCGGGTGTTCTGTGTGGTTCTGCTCTGGTCTTGCCAGGGATGTACCGTGTTTCCCCGAAAATAAGCCCTACCCATAAAACAAGCCCTAGCAGGATTACTGAGCACGTGCGCCATAGCAGCCCCACCCCGAAAATCAGCCCTAGTGGCGGGCGTGGCTGCGCAGCGCGTCTGCACAATCCGTGCGTGTCGTCGCGGAGCGGGAAAGAACACGAGCAGCCCTTCTCATCCGCCCCGACAGCTGCTGTCCCAGAGGTGACCGGAAAGGTGTGGGCAGCCCCACCAGCAAGGCCGGCTCCCCCTGTCGGGTCCCGGCCGTCCTGTGCGTGCTGCAAGCTGAGGCTTTGAGGGGAAGATAACACGTCCCCCAAAAATAAGCCCTAGGGTGTCTTCTTGAGGGAGAATAAATAGGAGACCCTGTCTTATTTTCAGGGAAACACGGTACCTGTGCGCTGCCCAGTCACAGCTCCGTTCAGGTCGCTGCCATGGCAGGAGCGCCTTCTGCCCAAGTCCCCATTCTCCCGTGGCTGGGCTGGACCCTCTTCCCCTCCCCCAACCCCCTTCGTCTTTGGGGATCTCTCTCTTTCCAGCCCTGGCCAGCCACGCTCCTCCGGGCACTGACAGGGGAGCCTGGTCCTGAGCCATCCTCGTCCCTGTGCTCAGATTATTCCCCCGGGAGGGCCGTGAGGTGTGGCAGTGCCCTGCAGCCCCCAGCACCAGGCCAGGACTGGCCTCTCTCCTCCCGTTCCCTTCTGGCCTTTTGTGCATGCCCTTCTGCTGTGCCGGAAACACCGGACCTGACCGGACCCCCGCTGGATCGGGGGGACCCTTCGTGTTCCCTGTGCCCAGGTGCTGCTCCTGTGCTTGTGGTCAGCACAGCGTTGCTGTTTGTGCTATTTGACTCTGTCCCCAACTAAATTGCAAGATCCTTGAGGACTCTGCCTTCTTCTCTGTCCCCAACAGTTGCTGGCCAACTGTCTTAAAATAATAGGCACTCACGGCTAGGCACGGTGGCTCACGCCTGTAATCCTAGCACTCTGGGAGGCCGAGGCAGGAGGATTGTTTGAGCTCAGGAGTTCGAGACCAGCCTGAGCAAGAGCAAGACCCCATCTCTACTAAAAATAGAAAGAAATTAGCTGGACAACTAAAAATATATAGAAAAAAAAATTAGGCGGGCGTGGTGGCACATGCCTGTAGTCCCAGGTACCCGGGAGGCTGAGGCAGGAGGATCGCTCGAGCCCAGGAGTTTGAGGTTGCTGTGAGCTAGGCTGACGCCACGGCACTCACTCTAGCCCGGGCAACAGAGTGAGACTCTGCCTCAAAAATAAATAAAAATAATGGGCACTCATGAAATATTTGCTCCGTGAGTTGCACACGTGGGCACCCCATAAATAAACGGGATAAATTCAATTTTTCCTCAGTTGAATTCTTACAAAGACTTGGGTCTTCTTTTTACCCTCAGGGTCGGGTTTCCATGTGCACGACCACAGACACGAAGGGGTTCAGGCGTGTCGACTTGAGGTCCCGTCCGCTTTGCGTCCGTTATACTGGTGTTGCTGTGATGTTGAAATACCGAATTGAACAGGAGAGTAAGGATAACCCTTCCCTAGGTGTTCTCTTTCTCTTTTCCCGGTCGCCTGAGCCAGCTCCTGGGCATGCTCCGGGGTCCGCCCAGCCTCCCCAGCGCTCTCCAGACGCAAGCGCCCCGTTAGTTAAGGTGCAGACCCAGGTGCGTGGACAAAGGCCGCAGGTCCCCTCAAATGGCGAGTATCGAAGTGGGCAAGAAATGTAGAATAAGGGCTTCGGGAAGAAGCATACTTAGAGGCGGAAAGCCCAGGGTGTCTACCTGAGTTCCATGAGGGGGAAGAGAAACGGAGCACGTTGTGAACATTTGGGCTTACGGTGAAAGCGCGGTGATGTTTCTAGAAAGGAGGTAGAGGGTGGGCTTGCAGCGCAGGGCGGCCACTGTGCGAGCGTCCCGTTAGGAAGGACGGGAGCCTTGGGAACGGACTTGTTGGAGCTGAAGAGGGCTGAGTGTCTTTTGGGGTCCGCTCGGAGCCCTTCCCCTCCGTGCAGCTTCTCTCGTTCTCCAAGTGCCCCTTGCCATGCCCGGCGCTGCGGTCCCCTCGCTGTGACGCCAGGCTGCCCTTCTCTGTGGCAGGACCAGGGTGTGAGCCCTCGCCCGCGTCCCACCGAGGCGTACGTGTCGCCCGGCTCTTTCCCGGGGGGCTGGCTTTTTTCTCTAGCGGTGCAGCCGAGAAAGGCCTGCCACGCCGTTCCGCTTTCCGTGTGGATGGGCGAAGCTCCGCGGCGTATCCTCTCCCGGGGGTGCTTGTTTTCACGGAGGGCGCTCTTGGAGGCCCAGTCCTAACCGGAATTCAGCCTTAAAACCCTGACGGTGCCGTGGCGCGCTGGCGGGGGGAGCAGTTAAGTGATGCAGGTCACGTAAGTCGTACCGTCCTGGGGTTACTTGGGGCTCACTT